TTTCCTAACATAGCACTTAAAACTTCAGACATTGTAGGCTGATTACATTCGGGTAAAACTCAATCTCCATTGCCAGGGAAATGCAGACAGCCTCTTCTCCTACCGCCGCTCAGTGGAGGGAAATACAATTTCCTCTTATCAGCTCCAGGTGGATAATTGTTAAATTATTCATAGTGGGGTGAAGGCTGGGTGCTAAGAGATTACTGTGTCTAATTGTTCCGCAGGTTACTGCTAAAATGCAGGAAGAAGTCTGAGTGTGCACAGCAGTGGAGGCTTCTGAGGGTAGGACGGCTCATAATAATGGCTGGAACGGAGCGAATGGAATGGCATCAAACACATTGAAACCATGTGTTTGATATTGTTTATCTTTCCACCTATTCTGCTGCAGCCATTACCACATGCCCCTCCACCCCAATTAAGGTGCCATCAACCTCCTGTTGTGCACAGGTACCCAGAATGGATCTAATAGGAAACAGAGACATGATGATGTTCATAAACCAAATAAAAAAATCTCATAAAACCTTTCTTAAACGTCTATCTCCAAGTATGCAATATGGTGACCCATCATGACCCGAAGGAAAGAAAAATGTAATAAGAGGAAAAAGTAATACATCACTTCTGTTTTTGCTATCCTGAGCATCTTGGAAGCAATTTGTCATTTTATTTTCATTCACCTCATTCATTCCACCGTCAGCATCTTATCTTGTCACAGACATAGTATCTCCCATGACACTGGCCCACATCATGGTTGCTGTCAATCATGTTCCCTCCTCACTAATTGATGTACTCACTTTCTTTCAACCAGTCACAGTCTCACACAAATACACATGCTCAGTCAAACCTTACTTGTCTCACTTACTGCCACATCAAGTCATTTAATGAACCACTCAGAAGCATCACTTATTTTACGCAACAATGGTATTATAGTAATTATAGTCAACTAAAACGGAAACTAAAATGAAAACTAATCATGAAAAAATGATTTAGTAAACTGAAATAAAATAATTAACAAACCCGTTTGAAAAACAAAACTATACTGAAACGATTATCCTTGACTCCCAAACTAACTCAAATAAAATAAAATAAACATAATGAATTATGTTCAGTTTGGGCTTTTCAAGCTTCTGAATCTGGCGGGTCACATTAAGATTGACATCATGACTTAAAGGTAGACTCAGCGAGATTACGTTGCCACAAGCAGCACCGCAGATATTGGGGATGTTTGAGTGGTAAGGCTAAAGCAACCGACTGTAGACGAAAGTCCAAGTAGTGAAGTCGGGGAGGTGCATCTGCGACAGCCGAAAGTCACACACTAATGTGGTTTTCCAACAGCAAGCCTCAGATCAACATGGCAGTGTTGCCATTGTTTATAAAATGTTTTCTTTATAATGTCGAAAGAAACATGTATCAAACCCCCATATCACACGCAAACTGAAATCATAATATAATATTATGTGTACACATTGTACAATCACTTAGTGAGATAGACCCTCAAATATCACATTTATTTGTATGTAAATGTATATATCCACTGTATACAAATTGGTTCCTGTTTCAGTAATTTCTTTGGTCATGTTCACATGGGTCAAACAAAAACACCCTAATGATTGGTTGACAATAGAGCATCCCATAATGCAGGCGGTGGCTGCAGGATGAATTTGGTAAAGACGAACTGCAGAAACTTGCAGTCGACTGCAGTCAAAATTTCATGACCTTGGATCACATCATTTTTGAGAGGAGCACGATGCAAGACTTTGATCTCACACAGTCACAGAGAGTATCTGTGCATGTGCACGGGTGCGCTTCACACTGCCACAACGTAGTAGCTATGGGACCAAAATAGTGGAGAAGTTTAGCCTCGCGCTTCAATGCTCCTGGTTGTTTGTGCATCTATGTCATCTCGCTGAGTCTACCTTCAAACTTAACCTAACCTATTACCTGACCCATCACCTTATGCATTATAATTTTTTAGTCATTTTCTTTTTTGTTGTCATTTTTAGTCATTTAGCAGACCCACTGTGGCAAGAAGTGACATCCCCAAAAACTATACAACACATACATGGCTCCTAGCCTCCCACGCATAGGCTACTTTTTATCCCTAACACTAAAACTAAAACTAAAGCTAAATAATATAAAAACAATATAGAAATGTTTTTATAAAACTAAACTAAATAAAAACGAGTAAAGTTGATCTGAAAACTAACTGAAACTAAACTGAATTTCAAATAAAAAACTAATATATAAACACAATACTATAATAACCTTGGTCTGCAACACACATTAAAAAAAAGCTCCAATCAACCATCATTCCATGCAGCCAGCTCAGTACTGAACAAGCCTTACGGTACACCCACACATCATGCAGGGTAGCAAAATGACGGCCTCTAATAGCCTAGCTGTGAAATTGATTGTACCCCTCCTTACACTCACCACAGACTAAAGCTGATTCAATCAGAAAAACAAGAATATTATAAAAGGAGTAAATGATATGAACTGACAAGACACAAACGCACATAAATCCATCAATTAAATGGCATTGTTTTTTTTCTTTCTTAACTACAATAGCCAGGTTAGTGTTTCAAAGAAATTGAATTCTGCATCCAAGAGAGGACCCTTTATTGGCTACCGCTGTTGTGTGACACATCTGGGTACTTTCATTAGAGTAGACTTGCAGACTAGAAGCCACTCATATGGCTTCTTGCGTCTCATATGGCTTCTTAGCTGACTGCTAATGTTATTGAATTGAAGCATCTACTGTACTATAGCATCAGACAAAGCTAGGAGCCTGGGACTGAACCCCTCCCTCTGCAACTGGATCCTGGACTTCCTGACGGGTCGGCCCCCCGGTGGTGAGGGTAGGCAACAACACCTCCGCCACGCTGACTGTCAGGGGTGTGTGCTTAGTCCCTTCCTGTACTCCCAGTTCACCCACAACTGCGTGGCCACACACGACTCCAACACCATCATCAAGTTTGCTGATGACACATGGTGGTAGGCCTGATTACCGACGGCTATGAGTCAGCCAACGGAGGAGGAAAGAGACTTAGCAGTGTGGTGCCAGGACAACAATCTCTCCCTCAATGTCAGTAAGACCAAGGAGCTGATCATGGACTATAGGAGAAAGAGGGGAGAGCACGCCCCCATCCACATCGACAGGGCTGTTGTGGAGCGGGTCGAGAGCTTTCAGTTCCTTGGCATCCACATCACTAAGAACTTAACATGGTCCACACACACCCGCACAGTCGTGAAGAGGACACAGTAATGCCTGTTTCCCCTCAGGAGGCTGAAAAGATTTGGTATGGGCCCTCAGATCCTCAAAAAGTGATATAGCTGCACCATCGAGAGCATCTTGACTGGCTGCATCACCGCTTGGTATGGCAGTTGCACCGCCCTTGACCGCAAAGTGCTACAAAGGGTGGTGCGGAGAGCCCATACATCACTGGGCCGAGCTCCCTGCCACCCAGGACCTCTATATCAAGCGGTATCAGAGGAAGGCCCGGAAAATTGCCAAAGACTTCAGCCACGCAAGCCATAGACTGTTCACTCTACTACCGTCCGGCAAACGGTACCGGAGCATCTGCTCTCGGACCAAAAGGCTCTGAGACAGCTTCTACCCCCAACCCATAAGACTGCAAAATGGCCAGACTGCTAAATAGTCAATTCATGGTACCCAAACTATATGCACTGACTATCTTGTACTGACCCTACGCACATTCACTAGACTTTATACCACACCATATACACACTCACTCACACACACTACACTTTCACTCCCACACAAATCTCTCATACATTCAAACACCACATGCGCCCACACACAACACACACACTCATACTGACAAAACCACAAACAAACATACACACTTACACACACACACTTTTACACTCATCATTTGCTGCTGCTACTCTGTTCTTTATTTTACTCTTATTATCTATCCAGATGCCTAGTCACTTTACCCTGCCTTTATGTACATATCTACCTTGTACCTCTGCACATTGATCTGGTACTGGTACTCCCTGTATATATCTCCATTCTTGCGTATTGTATTTAATTTCCTGTGTTAGTTGTTTATTTTTTATTTAGTTTAAACTCTGCATCATTTGGAAAGGTTCTTAAGCAAGCATTTCACTGTAAAGTCTACACCAGTTGTATTCACCGCATGTGATAAATAAAATGTGATTTGATTTAGTTTGTTAATTTCAGAGATGGTTCATAAACCACATAGTAATACAACCAAATATAACTATTTCTGCTATTATAGTTGGCTTGTCTCCTAATCAAAAGATACAGGTCTGTTTTAATTAGCATAAGGTCCTGGGGGCCATCGTGATTACTTATCATACATTTAATTATCAAACTGTAAGTCATTTTCTGTGTTGTATGTTTTTGTAGGTGTAAAAAGTATATATTTCCATTTCTCAGGCAGGAAAGTTAAGGTGTCTGTATGCATAAAGATCATTATTATGTATAGCAGTTCAAACCAATTAATTGGTTTGGAGAGATCACCAATGCTTGTAGTGGTTTTCATAACAACTACCATTTTAACAAGCTACAATGATAGCCGATAGTGAGTGAATACTTATTTTGTTTTACATATGGGTGGTCCTCTGAAGCTCAATTGGTAGAGCATAGCGCTTGTAACGCCAGGGTAGTGGGTTCGATCCCCGGGACCACCCATACGTAAAAATGTATGCGCACATGACTGTAAGTCGCTTTGGATAAAAGCGTCTGCTAAATGGCATATTATTATTATTATTATTATTATTTTATTAATATAATCACATATTTGAGTTAGGGAAAAACATGTAGGGCTATTCACCAAAGTTATTACAAAAGTCATTCAGTTTTGTTTACCATATTGCTTATTATACCACTAATTCTATAAAAGAGGAGCCGGTGGTAGTATGCCTACAAGTCTATTTACTGTGCCCTTACCAATATGGCCGGTCGAGACTGTCTGGGTGACCAATTCTTGCGCGCGCAGCCGCGCACATCGTTGCGGGCCGAGAATACGGGAAAACAAGGAAGCAGACTGAGGGCTTGATGAAGTTCTGTAGCTAGAAAACAAGTCAATAAAATACTGTAGCTATTTGTATAGTCTATCACTACCGCAAAATGAGCATTTATTTGGAAATATAGTATTACGTTGATGTCACTTATTATTTTGCGTCCAGCAATAATACAGGTGAGAGGTAATGTTTATTTAGCTAGCAAGCTATGCCAGCTCATCAGGGGTGTATTCATTCCGCCAAATCTGTTATAAAACGTGTTTTAAACGGAAGCAAACTTAACGAAACGGGGAGGGACCTACCTGAATTTGTCGAATAGAACCAATCGTTTTGCTCTGTTTGCTTTCGTTTGGTTATTAAATGGTAAACGGTTTCCGTGATGAATACACCCCTGTTGAATGTAGCTAGCTAGCTAACGCGACTGTCAATAACACGGCCCGGTTTCCCAAAAAACATCTTAAGGCTAACTTTATCGTTAGAACCTTCGTAGGAGCGTCGTTAAATCTCCGAGCTGTTTCACAAAACCATCGTTATTAACGTTGCACTTAAACGCTTGTAGATGCTTTTCTGCCCTCCCGCGTCACTTTATACACAGAAGATCTCTGCTAAACATAAAATCACATGGTTCTCTGTGACCACGTATAACTTCAGAACAAAGTCGACTACAAATACGTAGTTGCCAATATCTTTGCAATTGATACAAACAGGCAACGTATAAAAAGTTGATTCAAATTAAAACCGAGGTGACTGCATTAACATATAAATACAGGAGACTATAGGCCTATTTCAATCATATTGCAATGCATTTAATGTTGAATAAATTATATTTTGCTACCTGTAGGCTACATACTGTCTGTAATTTGTCTCAATATAATTTATGTAGCCTAACATGTGCGCAATGTGGCAAATCTTAATTTAGTACATTATTATAGTGTAAGAATTAGAATAGCCGCCTCAATATTTGCAGTCATAGGTGATAGTGTCTTTCTAGGAGCTGATCCGTCGTCAGCATTGTGGAATAATTATAATGTTAAGGTAAGATTTAAATGGAGAAAGCTGATCCGAGAGCAGCGTTGCATTTCTTTCGATCCTATCAGTATCGACACATGCCTCAACGACGCAATTATAGAGAACGTTCTCTCTGCGTGGTGTTTTGGGAAGCGTAGGCTATGTTACATTTTCGGCCTTTGTAGGAATTATGCATCTTTAAAACACTCGTAAGCGAGCATAAATTCCAGCGCTATCGGGAAACCGGGCCCATTCATTACGTCTTACAACGGAAACCGTTTACCGTGTAAGAACCAAACTGAAGCAAACAGTGCAAACGCTTTGCACAAACTTTGACTCATCACATACGCTGCTGCTACTGTTATTTATTCCTAGTTATATGTACATATACAGTATACCTCAATTACCTCGTACCCTGCACATCGACTCGGTACTGGTACCCGTATATAGCCAAGTTATCGTTACTCATTGTGTAGTCATTATTACGTCTTTTACTTTCCTATTATTTCTCTATTTTTTTTTCTCTACATTGTTGGGAAGAGCACGTAATTAAGCATTTCACTGTTAGTCCACACCAGTTTTTTACGAAGCATGTGACAAATGTCTGTTTGGAGTATTTAACGGTTTCTGTTGCAAAACGTTTTGCAACAGACGAAACGTTTTGCAACAGAATCGTAACGAATACACCTCTGTTGTGCAGTGCCTAGCCTCCAAGTTGTGTGAGTGTAGCGACTAGCTAGTTACTCTGTCTGTACAGTACTTAGCTAGCTATAGCTACCACATATAGCTTTCTGGACACTAAATTGTATGGTGTAAATGAGTTGCCATGTTATTTGAATGCCATTCAAGTTGTCGCCTTCTCAATCCTGACACAGCCCCTGTCTTGTAATGATGCCTGCACGCAGCACTGTTGCTGGTGGTGTGGTATCCAGTAACAAAGTTAAGTACTCAAGACTAGCTGGCGATGAGGATGGCTACATTGACTTGCAGGTGAGACACAGACAACCTGATGTTGCACTACATGCATATCTCTAACCTCCCAACCACCTATAGTTGAGCCCTTTTGGGTAATCTCTAGCTCTGTCATATCACATATCATTGTAATCTGTGGTCGTCTTGGTTATTATGAATCCAATCTTTTTACCTTTTATACCAAACAGTTCAAGAAAAGCCCTCCCAAAGTTCCCTACAAGGCTATTGCCCTGGCTACATTCCTCTTCCTGATTGGCTCCTTACTGATTGTAATCGGCGCCCTTCTCCTTGCAGGATCCATAGAAGTTTCGGTGAGTAGCTCACAGACGTGCATACACTATATGGCCAAAAGTATATGGACACCTGCTTGTCTAACATCTCATTCCAAAATCATGGGCATTAATATGGAGTTGGACCTCCCTTTGCTGCTATGACAGCCTCCACTCTTCTGGGAAGGCTTTCTACTAGATGTTGGAATGTTGCTGCGGGGACTTGCTTCCATTCAGCCACAAGAGCATTAGTGAGGTCAGGGACTGATGTTGGGCGATTAGGCTTGGGTCGTTTCGGCGTTCCAATTTATCACAAAGATGCTCGATGGGGTTGAGGTCAGGGCTCTGTGCAGGCCAGTCAAGTTCTTCCACACCGATCTCGACAAATCATTTCTGTATGGACCTCGCTTTGTGCATGGGGGCATTGTCATGCTGAAGCAGGAAAGGGTCTTCCCCAAACTGTTGTCACAAAGTTGAAAGCACAGAATCGTCTAGAATGTCATTGTATGCTATAGCGTTAAGATTTCCCTTCACTGGAACTAAGAGGCCTAGCCCAAACCATGAAAAACAGCCCCAGACCATTATTCCTCTTCCACCAAACTTTACAGTTGGCACTATGCATTCGGGCAGGTAGCGGTCTCCTGGCATCTGCCAAATCCAGATGTGTCTGTCGGATTGCCAGATGGTGAAGCATAATTGATTAATCCAGAGAACACGTTTCCACTGCTCTAGAGTCCAATGGCGACGAGCTTTACACCACTGCAGCCAAAGTTTGGCATTGCGCATGGTGATCTCAGGCTTGTGTGTGGCTGCTCGGCCATGGAAACCCATTTCATGAAGCTCCCAACAAACAGTTCTTGTGCTGACGTTTCTTCCAGAGGCAGTTAGGATGGAGCCACGTTGAAAGTCACTGAGCTCTTCAGTACGGGCTATTCTACTGCCAATGTTTGTCTATGGAGATTGCATGGCTGTGTGTTCAATTTTATAAAAATGTCAGCAACGGATGTGGCTGAAATGGAAGAATCCACTAATTTGAAGAGGTGTCCACATACATATACACTACAATGGTGCCCTTTGGTGGAATGATATCCTGACTTTGGCTTTAAAGAAACAATCAGCAGCAACATCACCTACAGTACCACAGTACTACAGTATTATGTGATGACTTTGAAATTGTCATCTGACAATAGCCAAAATCCATCAAAGCCAAAGGAAATAAATACCAGTGCTTGACTTGGGCCGGAGCTGTCCGTAACGCCGTACCAGCACTTCTAATTTTTTGGAAATTGCGCCCGGCTCCTCTATAAAAACAAAGTAGCCTATCGCTGGCCCAGATTTACACATCGAAGCAAAAAAGGTTGATCAAAGCGGAATGAAGGTGGGATCTTAATTGAATAGCAATGGAAAGTGGGCATTCATTTCCTGATTCCGCTTTGTTCAAGTTTATTTGCCGCTAGTCTGCGAATCTGTGAGTGACAGTAGGTATAAAATAATGACACGCAGACTAACTAGATCACCAATTCAAAACATAACTCATAGCAGTTATCTCGCTAGTTAACTATAGCTAACTAAGCATTAATTTCGCTGTTACCTTTCCACCAGCTCTGTAGAGCCTAAATACATCTGCACTGTTGGAATGCTGGGATTCCCCACTATTACACAGTAGCCATGTAATTGCGGCAACGTAAAAAATATTGTAAGAATAGCCTAATTGACAAATAACTTGCTGTGTATAAACATGTCTAATTAGATACATTGCTTTTAAGTATCATACCTTATCCATTTGATCCCTGATTTATTGAATGAGGGAATAATTTTATAGTCCCGTGTAGCTCAGTTGGTAGAGCATGGCGCTTGCAACGCCAGGTTTGTGGGTTCGATTCCCACGGGGGACCAGTATGCACTCACTTATTGTAAGCCACTCTGGATAAGAGCGTATGCTAAATGACTAAAATGTAAATAAAGACAAAAGTATTTGGTTGTAATGTTGAAAAAGCCAATCCTACACACCCAGGAGCTCTCCAGATGGAGGGTTGACCACATGTTGTCAACATGTGACTAACAGTGCAGTTCTGTGTGTGGTGCTAAGTGCCTTGATCAAGGGCACAACGGCAGGAGGTGGTAGGTCTACATGGGATCAGACACAGCAGCTTTCCAGTGTCAATAATGCTTACTTTTTCATGTAGGCTATAATAATAGTCATGAAAATTTGGTTAAAAGTCGCGGAGAAGTCATGGAAAATGTGTATAAACCGTTAACAGTGAATAATCAGAGGTCTCTATAGCATAATGTCATTTGTGAATTTCGGTGAACATAGTCTAATGGACCGACTTGGAAAAAGACAGCTCCTGCACTGCTTCCATCCCAAGTCAAGAACTGTACAATACTATACAAGCATTTCGCTACACCCGCAATAACATCTGCTAAATATGTGTATGTGACCAATAAAATTGGATTTGATTAAAATGTAATTGTAAAAGACAATGGCAGGTTATTCATTGCTTTCCTCTTCAGGAACATCCTAAAGGGGATCAATGTATCAGGTCTCCTATGTTCCTCCACCACCTGGTTGATTGAGCTTGAGGTGTACTCCTTTCCTGGGTGTCCGTGCATTTCACATTCCCCACCCATGTAGATCAGTGAGCATTCAATTCAAGATATTTCAAGAGGATTCTCATCTCAACCGTATGTGTGCATAACATTAAAAACAAACCCCTAAATTGAAACAGATTTACATAATTGCATGCCATGAAACATGTAGTCCTGTATGGGGTCATTAGTGTCCATTTCCAGCACACTCCCTCTAGTGTGACATCACTTGGACGATAAATGCTGTGTGTGTTGACTGGCCATGTGGAGATCTGTGTGCCTAAGTAGTACTTCTTCTTACAGCCCTGCCTCCTCAGAGGGTTGTAGTATGGTGTTGTATGATACATATGTGCCATATTGTCATTTGATGGATAAAGAGTGCCTGTCTTTGTGTTTTTTTATCTGTGAAAGATACTGACACATAGGCTAATTCGTTAATCAGGCACAGATGGTGATACATAGACTAAATAGGCACTTCTTTTTCAGCACCCGGACCGTACAGTTCCAGTCCTCATTATTGGGATCCTCGTCTTCCTTCCTGGATTCTACCATTTACGAATCGCCTACTACGCCTCCAAGGGTTACCGCGGATACTCCTATGACGACATTCCAGACTTTGACGACTGAGCCATCATTTTCCCTCTGAGCTGCATGAGACTGTTTAACCTTGAGGATCTCCCAGACTGAGAAACAGCATCACCAAGTGGCTTATCTTTACTCTCTTGATTGTATTGAATATCACACGTCTGCAATTTGACTGTGGCTTTAAACGTAAGAATATTTATTACTGATAGAGTATTATAGATTACGCAAGAGTATTTAACATGTGCAAGGCCTGTTATATATTTCTGTCTTGACTATCTGTTTGTAATGCTCTCTAAAGATGTGTGATTGGTTGTAAAAGAGACTATCCAGTTTACGTTACATATTTATGATAATAATAAAAGAAAATAAACAATCCAATGGCATGGCATTATGTACAAATGTTTTTTTTGTATCTTTGTTTTTGATTAAAATAGGAAAAATTATACACTTACCTTCATGTGTAGCATTTCTTGATTATGTTACTTGTTACGTCTCTGAAGAGTACATAGAGCGTCTTGCTAGATTGCACTAATGCACCTCAATTAGTCTTGTTTGAATGTCCTTTGTTTTCAAGATTTTAAGCTGCAATTGCCTCGTAAGCATATACACTGAGTGAACATAACATCATAAACACCTGAACTTTCCATGACAGACTGACCAGGTGAAAGTTATGATCCATTATTGGTGTCACTTGTTAAATCCACTTCAATAAGTGTAGATGAAGGGGAGGAGACAGATTAAAGAAGGACTTTTAAGCCTTGAGACAATTGAGACATGGATTGTGTTTGTGTGCCATTCAGAGGGTGAATGGGTAAGACAACATACACTGCTCAAAAAAATAAAGGGAACACTAAAATAACACATCCTAGATCTGAATGAATGAAATAATCTTATTAAATACTTTTTTCTTTACATAGTTGAATGTGCTGACAACAAAATCACACAAAAATTATCAATGGAAATCAAATGTATCAACCCATGGAGGTCTGGATTTGGAGTCACCCTCAAAATTAAAGTGGAAAACCACACTACAGGCTGATCCAACTTTGATGTAATGTCCTTAAAACAAGTCAAAATGAGGCTCAGTAGTGTGTGTGGCCTCCACGTGCCTGTATGACCTCCCTACAACGCCTGGGCATGCTCCTGATGAGGTGGCGGATGGTCTCCTGAGGGATCTCCTCCCAGACCTGGACTAAAGCATCCGCCAACTCCTGGACAGTCTGTGGTGCAACGTGGCGTTGGTGGATGGAGCGAGACATGATGTCCCAGATGTGCTCAATTGGATTCAGGTCTGGGGAATGGGTGGGCCAGTCCATAGCATCAATGCCTTCCTCTTGCAGGAACTGCTGACACACTCCAGCCACATGAGGTCTAGCATTGTCTTGCATTAGGAGGAACCCAGGGCCAACCGCACCAGCATATGGTCTCACAAGGGGTCTGAGGATCTCATCTCGGTACCTAATGGCAGTCAGGCTACCTCTGGCGAGCACATGGAGGGCTGTGCGGCCCCCCAAAGAAATGCCACCCCACACCATGACTGACCCACCGCCAAACCGGTCATGCTGGAGGATGTTGCAGGCAGCAGAACGTTATCTACGGCGTCTCCAGACTCTGTCACGTCTGTCACATGTGCTCAGTGTGAACCTGCTTTCATCTGTGAAGAGCACAGGGCGCCAGTGGCGTATTTGCCAATCTTGGTGTTCTCTGGCAAATGCCAAACGTCCTGCACGGTGTTGGGCTGTAAGCACAACCCCCACCTGTGGACGTCGGGCCCTCATACCACCCTCATGGAGTCTGTTTCTGACCGTTTGAGCAGACACATGCACATTTGTGGCCTGCTGGAGGTCATTTTGCAGGGCTCTGGCAGTGCTCCTCCTGCTCCTCCTTGCACAAGGCGGCGGTAGCAGTCCTGCTGCTGGGTTGTTGGCCTCCTCCACGTCTTCTGATGTACTGGCCTGTCTCCTGGTAGCGCCTCCATGCTCTGGACACTACGCTGACAGACACAGCAAACCTTCTTGCCACAGCTCGCATTGATGTGCCATACTGGATGAGCTGCACTACCTGAGCCACTTGTGTGGGTTGTAGACTCCGTCTCATGCTACCACTAGAGGGAAAGCACCGCCAGCATTCAAAAGTGACCAAAACATCAGCCAGGAAGCATAGGAACTGAGTGGTCTGTGGTCACCAACTGCAAAACCACTCCTTTATTGGGGGTGTCTTGCTAATTGCCTATAATTTCCACCTGTTGTCTATTCCATTTGCACAACAGCATGTGAAATTTATTGTCAATCAGTGTTGCTTCCTAAGTGGACAGTTTGATTTCACAGAAGTGTGATTGACTTGGAGTTACATTGTGTTGTTTAAGTGTTCCCTTTATTTTTTTGAGCAGTGTATTTAAGTGCCTTTGAGGGGGGTGTGGGAGTAGGTGCCAGGCTAACCTGTTTGTGTCAAGAACTGCAACGCTGCTGGGTTTTTCACACTCAACAGTTTCCCGTGTCCACCACCCAAAGGACATCCAGCTTACCCCTTTGCAACTCAATATTAGGAAGGTGTTTTTAATATTTTGTACACTCAGTGGAGGTATTTACTATAACTTTGAAAAACAGGGGTTTTACTGAGACTATAACTTGTCAAAGTGCCCCCTCTTGTGGTTTCAATTGAAACATGTTTTTTTATGAACTGCCCCTGCACTGGAATAATTGCATGAAGAAATATTGCCCTATATCATCTATCGAAATATTTTTGGGCCAAGTCTTTGTAATAGTATGGGAAATATTATTAACAATAATCGGAAATAGGCAATAATGCATTTGCACCAGGCTTCATTACTGTCAGGCAAATTGGAAAAGCCTGCAGTTGTTTTTCCAATGGAAATATAATTTTCATAAAATAAAATAAAGCTAAATTATTCTACTAGTGTAGCCTATTTCACATTTTCATTCAGTCTAATTTCACATATTATCTTTAAATGTTTATTGATTTGATAGGTTACTTTTAGTCCATGCAGGAAAACAACATTCAGTTCAAAGTAGGCCTACAAAATACACCTTTAAACCACACACAAACGTGCTAGAAAGGTTAATAGCCAGGAACGTAAATGGCAAAATTGGTTTAAACTTCTTTCTAAAATTGTTCGTACGTGTGTGCGAGCGCTTGCGCTTGCCTGCGTGTGTGTGGGAGAGCGGGAGAGGGAGGGGGAGGTGATTGGTCAACCAAACGGCTCATTGAAGAGGGAAGAAGTGAGAGAGTAGAGAGACCTTCGCTACGGAGCATCAAATGTGCAGAGAAAGTTATTCTCTACTTTTTAGGGGACTTTCTAGCCTTGGAAGTATCTTGAATCTTCGCATACATGTTGGATATTACAGAGGAACAATGATGGAGATACAACGCGTCTAGCAATGATGTGTTTGAGAATTCAGCGCAGTATGCACCATCATTGACTTGCGTAAAATTGCAGAAACGATTCGATATTTCAGTAAGGATCAGCAAATCAGTTAACTTGAAACAACATATTTGCCACCTGAGAATAACTCAATGAAACACCTGTAACTTTTGCACACGGAGGACTAGAGGAATTACTGAAAGAAGACTTCTGACTGACGCACTAAATGGAAATACAACCTGCCTTTATTTGCAAAAGTGTAAAACACAGGTACATTTTATTATGCTAACTTATTTTCTTCTCCTGACAACTTCAAGATACTTTTTTCTATCTCTTCAGTATGGCTTTTAAAATGTTTAGTAATATAACCTTCTAGGCTTTAACCTGTTCAAGGACTCAAATGTGGGTCTTTATCTGTCTCAAGTTATTTTGCAAGCCACTTCTTTTTGAGCATCTTTATTTTAGACATATCTTGCCACTTGCACCTGCTCTGATGTCTGCAGACATGACAAACGGGAACTGGGATATTTGTATAAGAGACCTGTGGGTTCATTGTACTCTGAGCCAGTGTTTGCAGTTGACTACCATGCCAGCCTCATATTCATTATTTATGCTCAGGTTTAAAGTCCTCCTGCATCACTGGAGTCATGTGGAGTGAGGGGACTTTACTCTTGCCTGAGGGTAGGGGCCTATAAGTAATTTAGGACACACTTTTACAAGAAAAGTAATTGTATAATAGCCTATTGTAAAATATGTGCTAGCATTGCTGTGAATAGGGGTTGTGGGGGTTATGTCAGTTTACTGCAGATTTAAACCATATACTCCAATCATATACCATTTGATGCTTTTAAATTGAGATTGTGATCACTATTGAGTGAAAAAGGGTAAAAATAGGCTATAAGTGTGAACTGCATCGGTCATGATGGGATTCCAGGTCCACTGGCAATAGATCTACTGGTAACTCTCCTCCAAACAGATGTGTGAGAATGTAATCATTTCCCTGATGATTTCTAGGTTCAGGGAAAACCATCCCTTTATTATGCTATTACTCAGAAGTTGCCCATATACCTTAGGGCTTAGATCACCTCACCACATATTATCCACTTCACATCACATATCCTGTTGAGAATGAGAAGCCTAATTTGTTCTGAATAGAGCACAATATCTCACCTGTGGGGTTCTGAGTGCTTTGTTTTGACTAGGAACAACCAGTCCTCATTACCTCTGTCCTCAACCCACGGCTGGCAGGATCAACCTGGATTAACAGGAGTGTGTATTACAGCTGCTTATCCAGTCACCTCTGATGATCACACAAAGACACCTTTAGAATCCATTATTTTGCTTGTAGAACATTTCTACATCTTCTGTGCAACAAACAAACACACACACACACACACATTCACAGAGCTTCTAAAAAAGACTTGATGTTTCATTATGGTGATGCACAGTTTCTGGCATCACTCAGAGGCGTGGTGTCTTTGTGACCTCTCTTAATATTGTTTGCCAATGCCTGACCCCCAAAACCCACATGTGATAGGCTTAACCCATCTCTTCCATTTCACATGAATAGAATAAGAGTGAGAAAATCTCTCTCGCACCCATAGTGGCAATGGATGAGTTGTAATCTTTCCCTCTTAAATGCACATCTGGCTAAAGCATCTGTTTTAACAGTATCCAGAGATTCCTCTCTAGCCAGTGTCCAGGCAGGGTTATGGCCGGGTTATAGTGCTAGGTAAATGGGTTAGTATTCTCTAGTGGCTACAAATCAATTGCTGCCCATTTACCTGATTAAATGTAGTAATGCACATAGTATTTCACCAGTAACCCTCTCACTGCCGTCTCTGCTTTCCTATATGCTGATCAATCAAAGACAGGCATTGCCCCTTGATTAGGGCTGTTGTTTTTGCTCTACAAACATTGCAGGAGCGTTGTGTTGTTAACGTCGTCAGTGTTTGTAAGGCGACGCTGCTTAGCTGGAGGCAGGAAGTGTACTGAGGGAATTGCGCAGAGACCAGGCCTAGGTTGCCACGGTTAAATAAGCTTCACAGATAATTAGCATGTTTTTGTGTTAATGTCCCTCTGAAGGCCTACTCTGCCTGCTTCTCTGTCTCTGTCTCTGTCTCTGTCTCTGTCTCTGTCTCTCTCTCTCTCTCTCTCTCTCTCTCTCTCTCTCTCTCTCTCTCTCTCTCTCTCTCTCTCTCTCTCTCTCTCTCTCTCTCTCTCTCTCTCTCTCTCTCTCTCTCTCTCTCTCTCTCATTCTCTTACTCATGGTTCAATAATGAGTAAACATCTTTATTGATTATGCCTAACACTTAACCAAATGAATAAATCAACAGCCTTTTCCCAATGTTTTCCGACCTTTCACTAGTCTACAACTACTCTCCCTCTCCCTCTCCCTCTCCCTCTCCCTCTCCCTCTCCCTCTCCCTCTCCCTCTCTCCCTCTCTCTCTCCCTCTCCCTCTCTGACTAGACAATCCCGGTATTGACTATTGCTCTGGCTCTGTTTTTCCTCACCCCTTTTATTGCTTTATTGCAGTGCAGTTCCTTTGAAGAGAGAAGCAATCTTTGCTTGCTTTAACAAATCATGGTCCTAAAACTATGTATGGCTATTACACCATCCAAATCACCTCCATTGTCACAGTCCGATTGTACACACAGGGCTTACTTTGCATTTAGATTAGGATGCATTGAGACAGACCTACAGCACAGATAGATTATGTCATCGATCTCTTTATCAATGCTTAGTTGTGTGGCTGGCCTCCTGAACAGGTTATTCTATCTACCTGACCTCCATGCTGGAGAGAGATGGCATTTAAAGAGCACTGGGAGTAGGGTTTCTTGGAGTAGGTTCTCTTGGGTATTAGTCCTTGTTCATTGTGAGCCAAATACTAGGAAAGTAGGTTTGCTGCTTACCCACAGAAACACAGTCAGCCCTTGTGTGTACACACCAAGCCCTTCTGACTGACCAGTCAAGCCTTTCATTCTCAGTCCTACCTCACCCTCTCTCTATTTGGGAGGAATGATAAGAGGCAGCAAACAACACTGCTCTATATTTACCTTGCTGTTATCTGACTCATGGTCAAAGCAGCATAGATCGATAATTAATGCAATTGAAATAGAGTGACAACAGACTCAAAATTGTTATTACTGTAGTACTAGAGACTTACTCATGATACTCAATTTACAAGACAATCTGTCTCATTGCGTTTATCGTTTGGACTTTGTGCAAGAGTCCTATAAAGTTTTATGATGAGTGTCAACGGATACGTGGCCTATGACCTCTTTGCAATTGTGTTACCTGGTTGAGTCTTGCTTCACGTAATCAGTAGGTTATTCAGGGAGCGGTCACTGTTGACCTTTTGCCCTCTCTCTCTCTTATACTTACTCAACTGTACTTATGCCCTATTTACTATTCATACTTTTTACATTTCAATGCATTCAATATTTTTCATTCAAGTTAAAATGCATTTTTAATTGGTATGAAATCCTCTTCAGCTTGATTGCAGCTCTCCTTAATAGACTTGTTCATACAGTGGGGAAAGAAAGTATTTAGTCAGCCACCAATTGTGCAAGTTCTCCCACTTAAAAAGATGAGAGAGGCCTGTAATTTTCATCATAGGTACACGTCAACTATGACAGACAAATTGAGAAAGAAAAATCCAGAAAATCACATTGTAGGATTTTTTATGAATTTATTTGCAAATTATGGTGGAAAATAAGTATTTGGTCACCTACAAACAAGCAAGATTTCTGGCTCTCACAGACCTGTAACTTCTTCTTTAAGAGTCTCCTTTGTCCTCCACTCGTTACCTGTATTAATGGCACCTGTTTGAACTTGTTATCAGTATAAAAGACACCTGTCCACAACCTCAAACAGTCACACTCCAAACTCCACTATGGCCAAGACCAAAGAGCTGTCAAAGGACACCAGAAACAAAATTGTAGACCTGCACCAGGCTGGGAAGACTGAATCTGCAATAGGTAAGCAGCTTGGTTTGAAGAAATCAACTGTGGGAGCAATTATTAGGAAATGGAAGACATACAAGACCACTGATAATCTCCCTCGATCTGGGGCTCCACGCAAGATCTCACCCCGTGGGGTCAAAATGATCACAAGAACGGTGAGCAAAAATCCCAGAACCACACCGGGGGACCTAGTGAATGACCTGCAGAGAGCTGGGACCAAAGTAACAAAGCCTACCATCAGTAACACACTACGCCGCCAGGGACTCAAATCCTGCAGTGCCAGACGTGTCCCCCTGCTTAAGCCAGTACATGTCCAGGCCCGTCTGAAGTTTGCTAGAGTGCATTTGGATGATCCAGAAGAGGATTGGGAGAATGTCATATGGTCAGATGAAACCAAAATATAACTTTTTGGTAAAAACTCAACTCGTCGTGTTTGGAGGACAAAGAATGCTGAGTTGCATCCAAAGAACACCATACCTACTGTGAAGCATGGGGGTGGAAACATCATGCTTTGGGGCTGTTTTTCCGTGTAAAGGAAAGAATGAATGGGGCCATGTATCGTGAGATTTTGAGTGAAAACCTCCTTCCATCAGCAAGGGCATTGAAGATGAAACGTGGCTGGGTCTTTCAGCATGACAATGATCCCAAACACACCGCCCGGGCAACGAAGGAGTGGCTTCGTAAGAAGCATTTCAAGGTCCTGGAGTGGCCTAGCCAGTCTCCAGATCTCAACCCCATAGAAAATCTTTGGAGGGAGTTGAAAGTCTGTGTTGCCCAGCGACAGCCCCAAAACATCACTGCTCTAGAGGAGATCTGCATGGAGGAATGGGCCAAAATACCAGCAACAGTGTGTGAAAACCTTGTGAAGACTTACAGAAAACGTTTAACCTGTGTCATTGCCAACAAAGGGTATATAACAAAGTATTGAGAAACTTTTGTTATTGACCAAATACTTATTTTCCACCATAATTTGCAAATAAATTCATAACAAATTGTCACGATCGTCCAATGAGGGAGACCAAAGCGCAGCGCGTTGAGCGAACATGACTTTATTAAATTAAAGCCTGGAACCACAAAACAAAATACAATCGTGAAGTCCACAGAAACACTGTCTGATAACGGAACAAAAACCCACAACCCCAAGGTGAAAACAGACAGTATAAATATGGCTCCCAATCAGAGACAACGAGCCAACAGCTGACACTCGTTACCTCTGATTGGGAGTCACTCCTTCAAACAAAGAAATACAACCCAACAGAAATACCAACATAGAAATACACCCAATGAATGAACACACCCTGGCTCAACATACAGAGTCCCGGAGCCAGAGCGTGACAGTACCCCCCCCCCCCTAAAGGCGCGGACTGCGACCGCGCCTCAATACGGGCTAAACAAGGGAGGGCTGGGCGGGCATACCTCCTCGGCGGTGGCTCTGGCTCCGGCCTTGATCCCCACCTCCTCTCCAACCCCCCAAAGTACCCCTGGTCCTGTCTAGCCCCGCTGGCCGGAGCCGGACTGACGACACGCGCCCCTGGCTTGGTGCGTGGAGGACGAACGGGCCTCACCAGGCTGACGACTCGCATCCCTGGCTTGGTGCGAGTAGTAGGAATGGGCTGGATCAGGCTGACGGCTCGCACTCTTGGCTTGGTGCGAGTAGCAGGGACGAGCTGAACCAGGCTGACGACTCGCACCCTTGGCTTGGTGCGAGTAGCAGGAACGGGCTGGACCAGGCCGACGACTCGTACCCCTGGCTTGGTGCGAGTAGCAGGAACGGGCTGGACCAGGCTGACGACTCGCACCCTTGGCTTGGTGCGAGTAGCAGGAACGGGCTGGACCAGGCTGACGACTCGCACCCTTGGCTTGGTGCGAGTAGCAGGAACGGGCCGGGCTGGGCTGGCGACGCACACCGTAGGTTTTGTGCGGGGAGCAGGACTGGGCCGGGCAGGGCTGTCGACGCACACCGTAGGTTTGGTGCGAGAGGCAGGAACAGGCCGGGCTGGGCTGGCGACGCGCACCGTAGGTTTGGTGCGAGGAGCAGGGACAGGCCGAACCGGGCTGTGGAGACGGATAGGAGGCCTGGAGTGAAGAGCGGCCACCACCCGTCCTGGCTGAATGCCTGCCCTCACACACTCTGTGTGAGGCATCTGCACAGGACGTACAGGGCGGTGTACCCCTGGCCTGGTGGCCTCCTGGATTCGCCCCATCTTTGCCTCCGTCAGCCCCGTCGTCCATGCCGTGTGCCCCCCCCTAAAAATTTCTTGGGGTTGCCTCTCGACCCTCCGACGCTGCTCCCACGTCCAGGTTGCCTGTTCCTGGACACGCTGCTTGGTCCTGGTATGGTGGGTTTTTCTGTCACGATCGTCCAATGAGGGAGACCAAAGCGCAGCGCGTTGAGCGAACATGACTTTATTAAATTAAAGCCTGGAACCACAAAACAAAATACAATCGTGAAGTCCACAGAAACACTGTCTGATAACGAAACAAAAACCCACAACCCCAAGGTGAAAACATACAGTTTAAATATGGCTCCCAATCAGAGACAACGAGCCAACAGCTGACACTCGTTACCTCTGATTGGGAGTCACTCCTTCAAACAAAGAAATAGAACCCAACAGAAATACCAACATAGAAATACACCCAATGAATGAACACACCCTGGCTCAACATACAGAGTCCCGGAGCCAGAGCGTGACACAAATCCTACAATGTGATTTTCTGGACATTTTGTCTGTCATAGTTGACGTGTACCTATGATGAAAATTACAGGCCTCTCTCATCTTTTTAAGTGGGAGAACTTGCACAATTGGTGGCTGACTAAATACTTTTTTTCCCCACTGTATGTTGATATGTGGGTGTATGCGTAGGATGACACGTGCCCGTGGGATTTGGTGAGTGCCGCTGCCCCTCTAAGAATAGCCTTTGCTCTTGCGTTCTGGCAGTGGCTCTAATTAACTTAGCGTAATAAGCTGGCATTAGGGGTGTGTGGTAAAGCGTGCTGGGGATGGAGAGCTGAATTGAGTATTAGCCCGTTAAATCGCTCCCTCACACGAGCTCTCCCGTGCGCCTGGAGCACGCCGCACACATCTCATGTGGTCAAGGACTCCAGCAAAGCAATCAATGCATCTCTAGCTCTATGGATGAGATACTGGACAGGGGTAGGCAACTAGATACAGCTGCGGGCCGATTTCTGTCCAAGTGGATGGTCAGCGGGGCGGAACATAATGATAATAATTTATACACTACAAATTGACCACAACAAAGCCTAAAAATAGATTAAAATAAGAATATATATATATATTTTTTTTTATTTAGTGAGTTTTTCTTTTTTAAAAATATTTTTTCGTCATTTAGCAGACGCTCTTATCCAGAGCGACTTACAGGAGCAATTAGGGTTAAGTGCCTTGCTCAAGGGCACATCGACAGATTTTTCACCTAGTCGGCTCGGGGATTAGAACCAGCGACCATTCGGTTACTGGCACAACGCTCTTACCCACTAAGCTACCTGCCGCCCTAATTTCATACCTTGATTACATTGAGACACGATCACAATGTAAAACAAAATTATTAGCAAAATACTATATTTTTTGCAGAATTCCGCGTGATTTGACCCAAAACTAAAATGTTACAAAAAATGTTGGGGGGCCCAAAAAAACTCATTTGCAGGCCGGTTGTGGCACACGGGCCGCCTGTTGCCGACCCCTGCTGTAGGGTTACTGTATAGGTTATAATAGTAGAGTTAAGCTCGGACTTCCCCCTCCCTAACTGGAAACCTTCTTTATGGATTTATAGTGGATCATGAAAACATGCACAATATCTTCTTTGATCTGCTTGAAGTAGCCTACTGCCAGCTTTATGGCACCAATGACTGATGCACCACATGCAGTACTGTACTAATGGCTGCTATATGTGTCTCCTGCAGCCCAGCTTATTTCTGTCCTTGACTGCTGACAGCCAACAAGTTCACTAAGCTCTCTGAGAAAACAACACTGATTCTTACTGGGAGCTGGTCAGGTGCTGTGCAAAACTGACTCTGTGTAGATTTATGTGACATTTTAATGGGCATCCATGTTATGAGAACCATTGTAGGGCTGGGAGTGTTTTGGCAGGGTTTTCTGTTGGATATCATTTGTGAAATGATATGGGGTGAATTCCAATCTTGAGAAAGGTACTTGAGGAAATGTAAACACATCTTCCATGTGTCTATAAGCTAGACACAACTGTCATTTCTCTCTCTCTCTCGCGCGCTCGTGCCTGCTAGTATGAAGATAGGTGACAGGTGTCTGTTTTGTCTGCTGGTTGGAAGATGCAATATGTGACAAGTGTGTATTTTTGTCAACAGATCAAGTATGCTGGAGGCTGTGTGACTGGCAGCTATGGGACCAAAGAGGGACTATCTTTTGGATGTTACCATGGTGACGGCACTGTGCCTTCTGTGTGAGTAGAGTACTTAATGCTTTCCCTCTGTAATGAACTATCTGTCATTCACTCTCTCCACAGCCACATCCATACCTGTCCCTACATTCAGTCATTTTCCCTCAGAAGGATTATAACAATGCTTATAATGTCTTTTTTTGTTAACCCTCATAGGGGTCACTCATGGTCAGAAGCCAGAGGTGCGTGCCAAGGTAGGGGGTGTGGTGGAGATGGAGTGTAGACTGCCACCCCCTGACACGGGTGCGTCTGCGCCACTGCACGTGGTGGAATGGGTGCGCCAGGGATTCGACATCCCAGTCCTGATCAAGTTTGGAGTGTATGCTCCTCGGGTGCATCCCAACTACGAGGGTAAGTCCGTCTTCATCCCATCAGAAGCTCAACTGGGATCTAATCTTACTGTATGAGTGTTTCATTTCAGCTCAATATCAGGTCCGTCTCAGCAGTTTCGTAACATCTGTTGCCCAAGGCTGAGGTTTCCAGACCCAAAACAGTATCTTCTAGAGTCCTTGTCCATTAACACTATCAAGCCCCCTTTTCTACATTAAAAGTCTATCCAGGCTTCATCCTACCTACAGTTGAAGTCAGAGGTTTACATACACCTTAGCCAAATACATTTAAACTCAGATTTTCACAATTCCTCACATTTAATCCTAGTAATAATTCCCTATCTTAGGTCAGTTAGGATCACCACTTTATTTTAAGAATGTGAAATGTCAGAATAATAGTAGAGAGAATGATTTATTTCAGCTTTTATTTCTTTCATCACATTCCCAGTGGGTCAGAAATGTACATACACTCAATTAGTATTTGGTAGCATTGCCTTTAAATTTTTTTACTTGGGTCAAACATTTCGGGAAGCCTTCCACAAGCTTCCCACAATAAGTTGGGTGAATTTTGGCCCATTCCTCCTGACAGAGCTGGTGTAACTGAGTCAGGTTTGTAGGCCTCCTTGCTCGCACACGCTTTTTCAGTTTTGCCTACACATTTTCAATAGGATTGAGGTCAGGACTTTGTGATGGCCACTCCAATACCTTGACTTTGTTGTCCTTAAACCATTTTGCCACAACTTTGGAAGTATGCTTGGGGTCATTGTCCATTTGGAAGAGCCATTTGCGACAAAGCTTTAACTTCCTGACTGATGTCTTGAGATGTTGCTTCAATATATCCACATCATTTTCCTTCGTCATGATGCCATCTATTTTGTGAAGTGCACCAGTCCCTCCTGCAGCAAAGCATCCCCACAGCATGATGCTGCCACCCCCGTGCTTCACGGTTGGGATGGTGTTCTTCGGCTTGCAAGTCCCCCCTTTTTCCTCCAAACATAACGATGGTCATTATGGCCAAACAGTTCTATTTTTGTTTCATCAGACCAGAGGACATTTCTCCAAAAAGTACGATCTTTGTTCACATGTGCAGTTGCAAACCGTAATTTGGCTTTTTTATGGCGGTTTTGGAGCAGTGGCTTCTTCCTTGCTGAGCGGCCTTTCAGGTTATGTCGATATAGGACTCGTTTTACTGTGGATATAGATACTTTTATACCTGTTTCCTCCAGCATCTTCACAAGGTCCTTTGCTGTTGTTTTGGGATTGATTTGCACTTTTCGCACCAAAGTACGTTCATCTCTAGGAGACAGAACGCGTCTCCTTCCTGAGCGGTATGACGGCTGCGTGTTCCCATGGTGTTTATACTTGCGTACTATTGTTTGTACAGATGAACGTGGTACCTTCAGGCGTTTGGAAATTGCTCCCAAGGATGAACCAGACTTGTGGAGGTCTACTATTTTTGTTCTGAGGTCTTGGTTGATTTATTTTGATTTTCCCATGATGTCAAGCAAAGAGGCACTGAGTTTGAAGGTAGGCCTTGAAATACATCCACAGGTACACCTCCAATTGACTCAAATTATGTCAATTAGCCTATCAGAAGCTTCTAAAGACATTACATCATTTTCCGGAATTTTCCAAGCTGTTTAAAGGCACAGTCAACTTAGTGTATGTAAACTTCTGACCCACTGGAATTTTGATACTGTGAATTATAAGTGAAATAATCTGTCTGTAAACAATTGTTGGAAAAATTACTTGAGTCATGCACAAAGTAGATGTCCTAACCGACCTGCCAAAACTATAGTTTATTAACAAGACATTTGTGGAGTGGTTGAAAAATGAGTTTTAATGACGCCAACCTAAGTGTATGTAAACTTCCGACTTCAACTGTACATCCTAACTTAACAGCTATCTTCACTCAAAACATACAGTAACAGTAACTCATCCCTTTATCAGCTTCAGTCCTCCTAACTGCACCACACCCCAATGGTCTGTGTGAGCTGGGGGCTTTGTGTTCGTTGGTCCTCTCAGATTGCATCATGGTCTATTGTCCCCGTTCTGCCCTAGGGTCAGAGAACAAAGGCAGTCTGTGGGGAAAAGGGATCTTCAATAGAGCAAAAATACCTTTTGTGACTGCTTCTGTCCTTTAAAGTCTCAGACAAAGGGCTTGACATGGACTGAGAGAGAGCATGTCTGGGTGCTTTAGATCTTCCTTTAGTTAGGTTAATCCTGTCTTCCAACGGGCTGCTGGGAGTGAGATTTGACCTGTCTCTGGTCATTGGAATTTGTGCATGGGCGCAGTGCATTCATGTGTGTTATTGGCTAGGGCTCAGAAATCACACTATACACCTGTTCAGCCAATTCGTATTAGAATGTTAGAGAGCCAGATGACACACCCATGCCAACCAGACAGGGAAATACGATAACCATACAGACATTTACATGGTAATGAAGTCAGTCAGCAGTCTGTGATGAGAAGACTGAGTGAGGATTGGAAGGATTGAGCAGACTGAGTCAGGATTCACCTCAGGTCAATAAAAGACACTAGCTTTTTTTCTCTGTCCTTGAAGAAGAACCTCCACGGTTCAGTAATGCCAATTATGGCTGATTGAAGTTTTGCACTGAATTGCAGCTTCACAAGGACTGGGACAGCAATAGTGTTCCACCTATTAGGGAGATGAAGTGTTGAGACTCTTCTCAGGTGTCTTTTGCTAGACAGCCCCTCAGGTTGACTCAGGGTTGTGTTAGAGGCTCAATGTCCACCTGTCATATCACACACTGTAACTACATAGATGTTACTCACCTGTTAGCTCAACCTGTATTTAACCATATGTTTAACCTGCTTCCTGAATTCAATGTCTGTCTATTAAGACATTATGCTCTTATTTTTATTGCCTCATTAACTGTGCTGTAGAGCCATAAAGCAGAGCTACAATAAAGCCATTCAGAGTAATATTACTTGATGATGAGAGATAACGGATGCCTCACTCTTCAATGCTGTTCTTGCCAAAGAAAAAGCAAGAAAGTCTGACTAATGTCCTCTGGATAGGTCAGCCCTCTCCCCTCTATTACGGAGGAGAAAGAGCTGAATGGGTCTTTTCAGTGTGTGTTGTGTATATAGAGCAGAGGAGATGGAGACCGCTTTGTAGAGAGAGAAGTGATCTGGAGAGGAGAGCAGGTTGTTAGTTCTGTACACACAGAAAAATGCTGATTCAGACCCCATGAGAAAGAATAGTCAATGCTTTGGTAAATATAGCTGTATAAATGCTGTGTAACATCATGGGATCATGTACTCTACATTACTACCAGAGTGTCTACAAAGCAAATAAAAAATACATAAAGAGCTCATACTATCTCCACTGTACTGGCCTGTATATTTTCCACCATCTATGGACCAGCATTGGATCATATTATGATTATTAGGCTACTAACTGTATTTTATAGAATTACTAATATTTAATTAAGGCATGCCTACGGCTCCATAGCAGTTTCCTAATCTCTGCTGTTGTTAGCGAGGTAGCCTTTAGCCAAACTGTGATGATTAAAATGTAAAATGATCACAGCATCTTCTTAACAGAAGAACAACTTGCAGACATTGTGAACTTAAGGGTTTCAGGAGGTGAAACTCTATCTGCTTTATTCTCTGACCGAAACTTGAATACCAGCGCCTGGTGACGACATTTCTCAAGGAAGGGATGGGCATATAGATTCTGAATTTCATATCCGTAGGCACTCAGAAAGTCCCATCAGCAACTAACAAATTCTGATATTTACACAAATGCAAAGCTGTGATAGTAGATTGACGGCAGCCTATGTGTAAGTTTAGCATATTTTAGTGATCCTGATCTAATCTGTTTGATTGTTGCCATTCATCTACAAATTAAAACATAACATTATACAGTGAGGGGAAAAAAGTATTTGATCCCCTGCTGATTTTGTACGTTTGCCCACTGGCAAAGACATGATCAGTCTATAATTTTAATGGTAGGTTTATTTGAACAGTGAGAGACAGAATAACAACAAAAAAATCCAGAAAAAAACATGTCAAAAATGTTATAAATTGATTTGCGTTTTAATGAGGGAAATAAGTATTTGACCCCTCTGCAAAACATGACTTAGTACTTGGTGGCAAAACCTTTGTTGGCAATCACAGAGGTCAGACGTTTCTTGAAGTTGGCCACCAGGTTTGCACACATCTCAGGAGGGATTTTGTTCCACTCCTCTTTGCAGATCATCTCCAAGTCATTAAGATTTCGAGGCTGACGTTTGGCAACTCGAACCTTCAGCTCCCTCCACAGATTTTCTATGGGATTAAGGTCTGGAGACTGGCTAGGCCACTCCAGGACCGTAATGTGCTTCTTCTTGAGCCACTCCTTTGTTGCCTTGGCTGTGTGTTTTGGGTCATTGTCATGCTGGAATACCCATCCACGACCCATTTTCAATGCCCTGGCTGAGGGAAGGAGGTTCTCACCCAAGATTTGACGGTACATGGCCCCGTCCATCGTCCCTTTGATGCGGTGAAGTTGTCCTGTCCCCTTAGCAGAAAAACACCCCCAAAGCATAATGTTTCCACCTCCATGTTTGACGGTGGGGATGGTGTTCTTGGGGTCATAGGTAGCATTCCTCCTCCTCCAAACACGGCAAGTTGAGTTGATGCCAAAGAGCTCGATTTTGGTCTCATCTGACCACAACACTTTCACCCAGTTCTCCTCTGAATCATTCAGATGTTCATTGGAAAACTTCAGAAGGGCCTGTATATGTGCTTTCTTGAGCAGGGGGACCTTGCGGGCGCTGCAGGATTTCAGTCCTTCACGGCGTAGTGTTTTACCAATTGTTTTCTTGGTGACTATGGTCCCAGCTGCCTTGAGATCATTGACAAGATCCTCCCGTGTAGTTCTGGGCTGATTCCTCACCGTTCTCATGATCATTGCAACTCCACGAGGTTAGATCTTGCATGGAGGCCCAGGCCGAGGGAGATTGACAGGTCTTTTGTGTTTCTTCCATTTGCGAATATTCGCACCAACTGTTGTCACCTTCTCATTAAGCTGCTTGGCGATGGTCTTGTAGCCCATTCCAGCCTTGTGTAGGTCTACAATCTTGTCCCTGACATCCTTGGAGAGCTCTTTGGTATTGACCATGGTGGAGAGTTTGGAATCTGATTGATTGATTGCTTCTGTGGACAGGTGGCTTTTATACAGGTAACAAGCTGAGATTAGGAGCACTCCCTTTAAGAGTGTGCTCCTAATCTCAGCTCGTTACCTGTATAAAAGACACCTGGGAGCCAGAAATCTTTCTGATTGAGAGGGGGTCAAATACTTATTTCCCTCATTAAAATGCTAATCAATTTATAACATGAATTTTTCTGTATTTTGTTGTTGTTATTCTGTCTCTCACTGTTCAAATAAACCTACCATTAAAATTATAGACTGATAATTTCTTTGCCAGTGGGCAAACGTACAAAATCAGCAGGGGATCAAGTACTTTTTTCCCTCACTCTAAGTGCATTATTTGAGCAGATCCATTGTCATGCGTCTGTGCTGTTAGTGTTGATGCTTTTCCGTTGGTCTGTCACCTGAGAGCTGAGGCCATTGAAGGATGAAACCTAGCTGGGCTTTGTCTAGTGATGCATTCAGTGCAATGGGGTGTGGTCAAATTTTTGGAGTTGCTGGACTGGACATCCAAAGGAAACATATTAGTCACATAGGACTTGTATCTGAACTAATGGGTGTGGGAGAGAGCCAAAGGAGAGGAGGGACCGGCCAGTGGAGATTGAGAGAAAGAGGGGGAGGAGTGGTAGCCTCACGAGCCACTTGATCCCACGAGCTTACATGAATGGTTCGCTGCAGCGGCAGTCAGTCTGGTATATACAGGGCTAGAGGAGTGCTGAAGGAGAGTGACATTTGGTGGTTGCAGAGAATGCCATGATGTGGGAGAATGGCTGCCAAAGAGGACGGTCACTGGGCCAGTCTTGTGATTGTATTTAAATCAACAATTCCTTCACTGAAACCCCACGCTAAGCCCTACTAAACTCATTACAGAGTTGATTAGTTTGCATATGCAATACTGTGCCTGTGTTAGTGCATACATGCGTCTCTCTCTCTCTCTCTCTCTCTCTCTCTCTCTCTCTCTCTCTCTCTGTCTCTCTGTCTCTCTCCCTCTCCCTCCTCTTGCTTTCTCAATTTACCTATTATTCAAATCTAGAGGTGCATTTTTTTCATGTGGACCTTTACATATCACAACAGCGGTAGGCGAACCAATCCCTAGTGTGTGTGTGTGTGTGTGTGTGTTAGTATGTGAATGTGTATTTTGCTCTGACCGTGACCCCCATGTGGATTTAGCCCCCATTCCATTTGGAAAAGTAAACATGATGTGATGTCATAGTCGGTTCCTCATCTGTTATCACAGCCACCATCCCTTTAACTACAGTAGCTTCCTGATCCCCACTGTGGCCATAGAAACAGTCCCTCCCTGTCACTAGAGACAAGGTCTAAGGTTAATGATTAGCTCAACACACCTCAATGACTCAATGTCATAACCACATTAGCGCTACAGTGTGAGGCATGCTCATGTTCTTGTAATGTCTGTTTATGGTGTATGTGTCTGGCAAACAAACACTGGATATTCTCCTCAATGCTTCACTGTCTGTAAAGACAGGCTTATCACACTGCTAAACTGCACTGTTTCAGTTATTTAGTTGTGAAAATGGCTTTATTGAATAACAAAAGAAATGACAACTTAAGAGATGGAGTGAGGGAGATGAGAGAGGGAGAGAAAAGCCACAGGGAAGGAGGCAAGGAGGGGTGAGTCAGCAAACACCATTGCCACAGGGTGCAGTCACCTGGCAACCAGGAGATCAGATTTCAAAGCTCACGATGACGATCCCAGTGTGTGTGTGTGTGTGCGTGTGTGTGCGTTTGATGATGTTTGGAAGTGAAGGCTTTATCTATAGGCAATTGAAGTACCATAGAACATTCCTATCAGTTGTAAAGCACACATTCTTTGTATTGAACCCCCCCTGAAATTCCTCATTATTTCCAGTGATTTGATTGGTTATGACCCTGTCTCGTGCCCTCTGACCCCTGTGTCCTCCCCTGTGTCTCCAGGCCGAGTGTCTCTGGTGAGGAATACTGTCTTGAGGGTGAAGGGACTCCTCCTAGAGGACCAGGGCCTGTATGAATGTCGCATCCTCCTGCTGGACAAAACCACAGATGAGACCCGCAATGGCACCTGGACCCTACTGTCTGTCACTGGTGAGTGGAGGGGCTTGTGATGGGGAGGGGATTTATTTTAAGGCCATGGAACCCTATTATCCTCATCCCATACAGCCCTATTACCCTATCATATCATATACGCACACTCCCTCTATCTCTCTATGACCTCTCTCAACAAAACATGACTGCTCAGACAAATATAGCACAAAATCCCACACAGACTAGGCAGACTTTTGGTGAGGTGAGAGAGGAGCAGGAGAGGAGCAGAAGCATTAGGACAGATTAGCCAGGCACATGGCCTGGTCAAAGACAGGCCCTGCAGGTCACGTCTCAGGCCCATTGTCTAATGAGGTTAAGATGCCTTGGCAGGAGGGCCTAGAGCACACAGCCAGGCAGAACAGCTCTATCTGTTTCCTAAACAAACAAATGCTTTACTCACTCACTGGTGAACTGTACAGTAAATGACTGGCGTCTAAGGGATATTTGCTTACCCCAGGTCAATCGCCTTCAGCCAATATGACTTTAAACTTTGTCAAACCTGCTGATTCTGCTTTGTTTTTTATGAGACCTTCACCTTTACAATCGGTTTAGCTCTCTCTGTGGAAAAGGGATTGAGGATGTTGTGTTGACTGTCTTTATTGTTGTTCTGTAGCTCCTCCTATTTTCACCAAGACCCCTCCCCCTGTCATGGAGACTCTAGTGGGGAATCCTCTCTCTCTGGCCTGCGTTGCCCACGGTAACCCACTACCCACCATAACCTGGGCTAAAGATGGTACTCTGATTGGAGGAGACAAGGTTGAGGTGAGGAATCATGGTTCAGTCTTCATGACTAAACATTTAACAAAAAACAAAAATTCACCTCTACAATCCCACATTGCAATCTATCTGTCTCTCAATGCAAACTTTATTGTCCCTGCAGGGAAATTAATTGCTCTTTCTCTCACTCTCGCTCTCTCTCTCCCCCTCCCCCTCCCCCTCCCCCCTCCCCCTCTCTCGCTCTGTCTCAGGTTCTGAGTGGGACACTGTCTCTCAGAGCAGTGGACAGGGAGTCAGAAGGACAGTATGAATGTCTCGCCTCCAACACAGAGGGCAATGTGACTCATGTGACAAAGCTTAAAGTCAAAGGTCAGTCGCTGTTTGTCTGTTTGTTTGTTTATGAGTTCCCTGTCTACAGTTTCCCCCTGGGTCATACTAGAAGAATAGAAAAATTCAGCAGAATACTCTGTCCTTATTTTCTCCCAATCGTAGTCACTGGAATCCCCACTGATACACAGTGAGTCATACAATCTCCCATCACTTTGTCTAGTATTACCTTGATCCTCTGTTGAGTGTGGAGAGGCATTATCGCCATCTAGTGGTGGATGTGTGATGTTCAGTTACGGGTGGATCCAAGGGTTTATACATTATGTTGTGTCCTTACTGTGGATAGTTTTCCTCATAAATTTCACTTATGTAATAGAATATGTTCCATTTATTTTTAAGTCATACTATGTTATGCCCCATGACGTCAATATGACCAGGATATGCCGTTTAGATTTGGGTGTGTTTTTGGCAGTGACACCTGTTTGGATTATAATAAGGCTTTGATTTCTGGCTGTAGTCACTTTTTCAAATCCTTATGTAAGCCTATAAAACAGGCCTTCAAACAAATCCTCTAAGAATTTATCTCAATCAGCCATAACCTCCCAACATGAATGTCACTGCCATGCTGTGTAGTACCGTAGTGTTGCTCTCACCAGATAACTGATTGGAGTTTAGATATCTTGCTAATCTGCAATGTCCTGCTAAGTTTTATCATGGAAAGAAATCCCTGATCTATTCTATCTGGTCTCAAACAGGTCCTCCAGTCATTGTTATCCCCCCGAAGGACACCGCCCTCAACATGACCCAGAATGCCCAGCTGCGGTGCCAGGCGGTGGCTGATCCACCCAACATGACCTATGTGTGGCAGAGAGAGGGAGAGAATGTCTACCACATAGAGTGAGTTTAGTGTATTTTTACCCGGTTTCTTTATATTGGATTTGTGTATTTACATGGGATTTTGCGTATGTTGTAATGTTTCTAATGAGGCGTTTGCTCTATTTGAATGTCCTGAATGTGTTTTAAGTTTTGTTTTGTTTTGTTGTTAGGGCTCTGAAGTCCCGTGTGAAGATCATGGTGGACGGCACCCTCCTCATCACCCGCATTACCCCAGACGATTCTGGGAACTATACCTGCATGCCCACCAACGGACTGTTGATTCCGCCTACTGCATCTGCCAATCTCACTGTGAGACGTAAGTGTCTATGTGTTGATGCGTTCATCTTCAATCTTCAGTTCCAACATAATGACACAAATCCTTCCTATCCATCAATCCATCCATGTTCCTCTCAGACCCTGCCCAGGCTCTCCTGATGCCCCCGCAGACATATCTCCCCACAGGCCTGGGAGGTCTGGTCTCCTGCTCTGTGAGAGCCCAGCCCCCCCTGCTTCGCGTCGACTGGACCAAGGATGGACAGCCACTGGATCTGGCCATGGTGGGGAGATCAGCCTCATATCTACCCTCATAGAGATACCCATTAACTGTCTGATGCTGCTGAATTTCAATTTACATAAGGAATCAATATACCCTGTAGGCCTACTGCTCAAAAGAAAAAATGTTTCCATTTAAAAGAGATGTATATATCATTTTATGGGCTTGGCACACTTAGCTTTATCCTCAGCTAGGATATTAGTTGCTATTCATTATTCATACTAAGCTAAATTAAAAAACTGTTGAGAAGTTCTCTGACCCCTCGCTCTGTTTTATCCAATCAGTACCCAGGATGGACGTTGACGTCTGAAGGCTCGGTGTTCATGGCTACTGTCAATGATGATGCAACAGGCGTGTACATGTGTACCCCTTACAACAGCTACGGGACCATGGGCCAATCAGGGCCCACTACAGTCATCCTACAGGTCAGGGTGCACCCAATGTTCTCTAGCAGTTTATTGCACAGTACAGAAATTACCAGCTATTTACTTAGAAATGACGTGGTAAAATGGTAATTGCACAATAATAACTTCTGCAATATTGGTTTGTTTCTTAAAGAATGATTGCTACCAATTTTGTAGCAGGTAGTTGGTTACCAATTTTGTGCAATTTAACTAGACTAGAATGTCCCATTTTTACCACTTAGTTTCCTTGTAAATTGCAGGTAAATACCTATGAAAACAACACTGTAAAATAAATTGCTACCCAATTAAAAGCCTCTCATACCGAAGAGAGAGCTCTTATCTGAGATAGCCAATTAACATTTTGATTACCTTTTTACACTCCTCTAATTGTCAGCCTGTTACTTGAATTGAGTTGAATGTGGTCTGATTACAATAGCTCCTGTATATCAAGGTTAATTCTGGATCTAATCCTTTTGCAAATAGCATAATCTTCTGAAGGTAATCAACTGTTTCACTCACTTTCTCTAATTACGATAAAGTCCTTGACTAAATGACACGGCTGGTTGTTTTGTTACGACCTGCAGGACCCCCCGTCACTCAGCGTGTGTCCCCGTAAGGAGTATAGACAGGAGGTGGGGAGAACGCTTGTTATTCCCTGCCAGACCACTGGAGATCCAGCCCCTAGTATAACCTGGAGCAAGGTGAGAGCACTCCAACACACCCCACAGCAAATGGCTGTACTCTACTGACTTCTTCAGTCAACAAGCCAGCACACAGGCCTGTCAACCTGTGAATAAGATGGTATGAACTGTGGACAAACCCTGAAGCAGAAATAGCTATTATTTAACACACACCTGCAAGCAAGCACCCCTCTCCCGAACAAACAGAGACAAACACCTCACTGATTGCAGATTACCCTTCATCAGCAATCAGCCCAGCTTGTGTGTCTGATCTCTCTGTCCTCCCTGTCTGTAGGTTGGACCTGCCACACGCTCTCAGTACTCTGTAGCAGCCAACGGCTCCCTGCTGCTGCTTCCGCTCAGTAAAGACCACCAGGGGGAGTGGGAGTGCAGCGTTACAAACCGCGTGGCCACTGTCAAAGCCAGCACTCTCATCTCAGTGCTGGGTGAGTGGAACGTACAGACTGACTGACACACATCTACATCATCTTTATTAATGTAGCTACTATGTAAAGTGTTCATGTCTAATGTTTTTTCAACACTGAGCGAATTTCAGGTCTGCTGAGCGCAAACTTGAACTTTGTGAAAATTCTGTGTAACTTCCAGCGCGTGTTTACTGAGGCTGTACCCGCTTTAAGTTACAATTGTAACAGTGGCCAAGTAGGCTACTGTAGCTATTTGATCATAATGTAGGCCTACCAGAGTGACCTACCATCAAAACCAATGGAGAAAATGCATCCCATAACATTTTAACATGGAAATAGCTGTTCTATCATTCAGCATACAGTAGCAGCCAATGTGTGGTGTTCAATGTAGGCCTACATTCCATGCAGGGCTTGACATTAACCTGTTTATCCACTGTCCTTCAGACAAGGAGGTTACTGAAAATGTTGTTGTGTTGTTTGATGCAAGAAACCACTTTACAAAATTAAATGCATTATTATTCCCATACCATTATTACAGAGAATCAGACAAATTATGCTGCCCTCTGCCTATTGGCTACTTAGCTTATTCAAGCCTGTCTCAAAATATAACACTGCCCCTTTAAGACAAAAAAAAGCTCTTTACCTGACTCGCTTTTCAAAGATTTCTAGAAATGTACACGTTTTGCACTCTTGTAGGAAGCAATCACTCCCCTATTTCTGAATACAAATTATCTATAGCTGGGCTAATAACTCACTAACTAGCAAAGGATATTAACTAAATGTGCACACGTGGCTACATGCAGCTCTCGCTTTGATCTCAAAACAAGCGCATCTACTCACGACTGCTCATGCTGTAAACACAGTCCAGTTCAAAGTAAATGGCACAAATCCATATATGGCAATGGTCTATTTGCATATAGGCCTACTGCAGCTCTGATTGGTTATGCCGCACTGTTCTGTGTAGAGTACGGGCTGAGTCGTGCATGTTAATGCAATAGAATCCTACTCTGATTCGTTCTGTCTACAACAAAAGCTCTTGCATAGTTAGTTTTGTTTTGGTACGTCGCTCTCAACATCGCTCCACTCTCCCTTTCCTCCACTGACACTGACCAAAAAGGGACACCATCTTCCAGCTGATGGCGAAACTCGAGTCGCATTGCATTATTTCTGCCTCATGCACAAATTCATGTTGTTACTCCTATGAACAGAGAAAGTGAAATATTCCTCAGTATTAAAAAAGACCCAAGCCTCTAATAATAACATCAACACAAGCCTATAGATACACTTTCCTCATTCATTACTGCAGCAGTGCTTGTTGTAGCGCTGAGTGGAAATAGGAAGAACACGCATTTTATGGCTTATAAAAGTGTTGAATTCAAAGTGTATGAACTTAAACATGAACTCACTCATAAAAACAGTAGCTCTTTGCTGTATTCGTTGACAGTTTCTCTCTAGTCATGGTTTTAAACGTTTTAAATCTCACAGTATCAACTTTGATTTAGTTTACTTTTATGCCTGCTACGTTACCACAGACATGGTTATCTGAGCCATCCAATTGGCGGTAGGCCTATAGTGCACTTGATTTGCTCTCCGGGCCCGTCGGGATTCCAAATGGCAACAGTTCGCCTACCCGGCGCGCAGGGCAACTGAATCGGGTGCACCTACCGCCAACAGCATGAGACAAAACAAAGAAAAATGAACACAAGGCGTTATCGTTGGGTTTTTTACGGAAATGTTTGGCGATTGACTAGGAATGCCTTGGAGATCGACCACTGCTCTAGAAAGTTGAGTTAAGTTCAATCTCGTGCTTCTCTCTGCGTGGCAGTCCCTGGGGAGCTGTCTAGGCTACTGCTTAGTTTAGAGCCAACATTATTCATGACGTTATGTAACCGCACCAGTATGTTACGAATCAACGTAAAATAATGACGCTCATCTTATCACTACTCTCCCCTTTCTGACTTTTCACTCCCTCTCTCTCTTCTCCTCCTTCTCTGTCTCTCAGGCACCAGTCCCCATGCTGCCACCATGGTGTCTGTGTCTCCAGGGGCAAAGCTGGCAAATGTGTCCTGGGAACCAGGCTTTGATGGGGGATACACCCAGAAATTCACAGTCTGGTGAGTCATCTACTCTTCTAGTCTATGTTCTGTCTCCCTCTCCATGGCCTGGCCTTGTAACCATATTAGCAGCATATTAATATATTGCATTGAATGTCAGTGGAGGACAGCTCATCATCAGCAGCAGCAGCAGAGGTAAACAATCACAAACAGAGAATCAGACAAACTGTATTGACATAGATGGGGACAGAACACAGAAACCCACCAGTAATTACTGATGCCAGATGGAGCAAAGTTTGAAAGACAAACCGCTTGAAAAAGGACAGTGTTCCACAAAAGTTAACATGTCCTTCACCATGCTTTTTCAAGCAGTTTATTTTACAAATGTTGACCCATCTCTTGAAAACAATGCTATTGTATAAAATCTCTACATTATCATATAGATCTATTGCATGGGAGCATAAAATGCATTGTGCAGAGTCTCTTTATATGCACAGACACACACACACACACACAGACAGACACACACACACACAGACAGACAGACAGACAGACAGACAGACAGACAGACACAGAGACACAGACAGACAGACAGGCAGACAGACAGACAGACAGACAGACAGACAGACAGACAGACAGACACAGACACAGACACATACTCGCTATTTCTATCTCTCTTTATTTTTATTTCTCTCCATTCACTCCACCTCTCACTGTCTCTCTGCAGGTTGAAGCAGATGTCTGTGGGTGATAGTGGGGAGAAACAGGAGTGGCTCTCTGTGCCCGTGCCCTCCTCCTCTGGCTCCAGTCTGCAGGTGACGGGGCTGGTCCCTGCCACAGAGTACCAGTTCAGTGTCCTGCCACACAACAAAGTGGGCACTGGGCCTTTCAGCGAAATCGCCACAATCCGAACTCTGAGTCAGTACCTGTTGTGTTGAAGTGACTTTGGTCTACATTGTCTCTTTAGAGCCTGAATGACATTGTCTACTCTAAGGCTGCATGCTTGAAGAATAAGACCGTTTTCTTCTCCAAATTATAGTTCCAAAGTAGGTCTATTTTTTCTAAGTGTGTTCTGTCTTATGCCTTCAGATCCACTCCCAAGGAGAGCGAAACTAGAGCCACCCACATCGCTGTCAGCCAATCAGAGCTCGGCAGGTATAGTCCTGCAGTGGTCCCCCTTGTCTCAGTTCCCGCCCATTACTGGATTCGTCCTCCAATCGCGCACTGAGCAAGGGGAGTGGTTCAATCTGGACGAGGACATCAGTGCCAATAGGAGTGTGATGATCGTTCCAGGTCTGCGCAAGGTAGCCACCAGTCCCTGTTAGTCACTCCCTCAGAGACCAGTCAGCAGACATCAGTCTTAAAGACTCTTCTGTCAGTTAAACACCACAGTGATATTTAAGTTAGGAAGCCTCTCTCAGACTTATCACATGACAGCTATCATATTTCTTCCTTCTTTCAATCTATATCCTTTCTCCCCTCTCTGTCTGCCTCCTCTGTCCTGCTCTCCTTCTCTTCCCTAAATCTGAATTCAGATGAGCCTGATTAGCATTGCAGGCGAAATCCTATGTTGACAAAGTGTGGTTTCGTCCCTCCGTCCTCCCCTGTGTGTGTGTGTGTGTGTGTGTGTGTGTGTAGGACTGTGTGTACGAGCTGCGGCTGGTGTCCCGGCGAGGGGAGTTGCTGAGCGAGCCCAGTCCATCAGTCAACGTCTCCACCATGGGTTAGTGTTTCAGGCTGGGGATCCTGGCAGGACCAGACTGGCAGCCCTTCTCCTCTCTGTAACATCACCACAGGCACCACAGGCCCATTACAGAATTAGAACATCCCTCTGGAGAATACTGGTCTTTTAGGAGTCTGAGTTATGAAATATTGCAGCTAATAACTTTTTAACATGATATTAATATTTCACCATGGGACATATTGAAGACAGATATATCAGAGATAGTGTCATGCTTTTATTATGCTGTATATTGGACAAACTGCCCCAGTGTATTTACTGTAAGGGAATACATTGTTAACATTTGGTTGTGGTAGAGTTCTGTGTTATGGATGCTGATGTTGCGGTCATGTCACAGGGATGGATATGTACCCTGCCAGTTCCCACTTCCTGGAGTTTGTTCCCGAGCCGCTATTGGCTGGAGTGATGGGCGGCGTGGGCTTCCTGTGTTTGGCCTTCATCCTGGTCCTAGGGTCAGTGTGTATCTTCAGTCACAAGAGAGACCAGCGACGCAGGAAGAAGAAAGATGGTAAACATTATCACTTAACTAATCACATGCACTATGAACACCATTATACAGTATGTAGATGGCTTCCAATACACTTTCATAAATCATACTTCAGTGCATAGACATGACGCCATGCTTGTCAACCCCATTCCCCTTTCGTTGTAAAATATATTAATTTCGTTTACACTGCTAGCTAATTAGGGTCATTTCTCATTAATGTGGCTGATTAATGTGTAATTAACTTTGAGGCACGGCCCATTGCTGTGCCTCCGGCCATTTTTGTCCGCTTTGATTGGGCTCATATTATTGGGCTTTTGTTTTTTCATTGATTCCTTTCCATGGTGACAGTGTCATTGTGAATCATCATCTCCCCCCCCCCCCCATTCAGATCTCCTTCCTGCCATCTATAAAAGCCCCCCCTCAATGTAAGTACCCTTCCTTCATAATATCATTCATTGTTCTCCCTCTCGTTGCCATTTTGTTTTACTTACTGTAAGCTGAGTTTTTTTCAGACTTTCCGAAGATTTTAATGTACCATACCCAGCCATCGCCTTTGTCTTAATGTATTTTTTTTCAAGACTGGTATCTTCAAGACAGTTTAAGAAGTCTTCATGACTCGCTATAGATAAATGTTCATTTTTTCCAAGACATCTTAAGATGACTCAAGATGTCTTCACAAAACATCTCAAGACATGGTGATGGCTCAGTAAAATGGCCCCCTCGTCCTTCATTTAAACCCCTTATCTCGCTCTCTCGTAGCGGGTCGCTTGCTAGCAGTCCAGACAGTGTGCTGAAGCAGAAGCTCCTCCCTCCCGACTGCCACCCCCACTATCCCGGCTCCACCTCCCCTTCCTCCTGCTCCTCCTCCCAGTCGGACCACTCCTCCTTCGGCAGACCTAGCCGCAGTGAATACCAGGACCAGCGCCAGCATCTGCTCTCCTGCCCCCCACCTCCTCCTCACTATGCCCCCCAACACCACCACCACCTCCCCAGGACAGGCTTTTCTCCCACTTCCCCTCTAGAGTTCATCTCTAGAGGCCCTGACGGTCGCTTCATTGTGCAGCCCTACGACCAGGCCTCCGTCCCCACCTCCCACACCATGAGATCCCTGAGGAAAGACTTCCCACAATCCACTGGGGTCCAGAGGTCAGTGTCCCTTCGCTCTGAGAAGAGCGTGAGGAGGGAGCCGCCGTTCGTCCTCTCAGTGGACCTACCCCCCTGTGGTGGAACTGACGCCAACCCCACGACCAGGGTCCGGGCCATGGCCAAACACCTCTCCCTCCACGGACGCTTCTACCTGGATGGGGAGCAGGACAGTTGTGCTGGACATCCAGACGAGAGTAGTCTCTACTCAGACAGTAACTCAGACATGTACCCCCAGCCAAGCCTGGAGGAGAGCAATCCAGGATACCCATCCCTAAAGCGGGCCGTCCAGCCGGCCACTGCCAGCACCCTGGTGCTGCAGATGGAGCATGAGAGGGAGACCGGCAACCTGAGCAGGTGTCTGAAGCTGGCCCGGGAGAGAGAGGAGCTGGAGAGAGAGCTACGGAAGTACACACTAGATAGTAATGCTACTTTAGACGGGAAGAGAGGGGGACCAGGCAGCGACGAGGAGAGGTGGAGAGGGACTGAAGAGTGCGATCCCATATGGAAACCTCAGGACAACACTTCACCACACAGTCACCCCCATCATCACAGTCACCCCCAGGTCAACAGGGGGTGCTCTAGCATGGCCAAAGGCCCTTCATCCCCGTCCTATATTCACTGGGAGGCCAGCCCACTCACCTCAGCCACCAGCATGGTCCCAGCACATCAGACCCCCTCTGATAGGACAGCGACCCTCCACTGTGACCCTCCACTCACCCAGTGTCCCTCTCTGTCACCTGTCACACAACACCACTTCAGGTCAGAGAGAGCAGAGTGTCAGTCTAAGAGGGTGAGCCAACAGCCACTAGACAGGCAGGAAGGGATAGAGACTGCAAGGGTCAAGACACACACAGGGCTTTGTGATGAAACTCACATGTCAACGGAGTTGAAGAGAGGTGACTTCGAGTCACATGAATGGAACAGCAAGAGCAATCAATGCCTTTTTAATGTCAGCGTTTCACACACGTCTAAGCCAGATGTCTCTGTCAACAAAGTGCCTGGTTCATGGAGAGTGGAGTTAGCAAGGTCACAGCCATGTGAAGAGTCATCTCTCCACACAGTGGTGGATCTCTCAGACTGTGTAGAAATTAGTGTGGATGAACCAGAGGATGAAGGCTCAGTGGATCCTCCTACAAATCCCATAAGGCAGCAGAGACATGCCCATCAGGTAAACAATGAGTCCCCATTGGCCGTGAAAGACCACAGAGGACCACGAACCACGAAAGACCACAGAGGCCATCCATTAGCCCACAGGAACAGCCCAGTACCTAGGGAGGAGCGGGAGAGGTGGCACAGGAGGTCATCTCGAAGCAGAAGCCCAGTTACCATTCAGCCTCCTAGGCCGGCGCTCAGGAAGGCTATCAGTCTAGGAGGCTTTCAGAACGGGGACGGCCGCAACCACCAGCGCAGCCGGAGTCTAGACTCCAGGAGACAATCCCAGGGTAACTTCCTGATGCCTGACGCCTGGGTCGACTCTCTCAGCCAGGATAACTGCTCCTCTCCCTTCTCCTTCCGCCCAGACTCTGTCTTCTGGGAACCTGAAAGCACCTTAGCTCCTGAGACCCCCATCCACACAGAGGCCCCCCTTGCTTCCCAGCCTCCCCTTCCCCCGCCCCCTCCCCCCCAGGACCCACGACCTCCCAGCAGGACCCCACAGCATCTCTGTGAAGCATATAGGGGTGATATGCACATCCCAAGCATAAGAAAACCGGTGCTGGAGAGACAGCAGCAGCTCCCCCCAACCCCTCCTTCAGTGCCTTCCAGCCCCAGTCACCCCCCCCACGACCCCAGGAAGAAGGCTTCCATCTTCCCAGACGCCTACAGGTGGCCCATCACCTACCAGGAGGCCCTGAGGTCAGTGCAGCGCATGGAGGCCAGGAAGAATACATCTCTCCCCAGGGACCACAGGGAGCACCCCAGACCCCCAGACTGTAGAGGCAGAACCACAGCTCCCTCCCTGCTCAGGGGTTACAGCTGGCCTGCACCCCATCACACCCCTCAGCCACCCCAGGAGGAGGAGAAAAAGCAGGAGGAGGTAGTAGTGGAGGAGGAAAAGGAGGAGAAGTATGGGGGGCATGAGGTGGAGATTGGGAGGTATCATCGGGGAGTGCCAGACTCAGGGGGGAGCTACAGTAGCTATGCCAGCCAGAGCAGTGGCAGGGGGAGTCTGGAGCCTCCAAACGGGCGCCTGTCCATCTGCCTGTCCCCAACCCTCACCAGCTCTCCTGAGTCCACCGAGGAGATGCAGGGAAACACAGTGGAGACACACCTACAGGACATGGCGGCATTGAAAAGGTGAGTCTGTGTCCCTTGAGCTAGTATGTACTTCAGTCTCCCTTTATTTTGTATCTCTATTGCTCTCTTTCTACATTATCTCTTTGACATTGAGCATCATGTTACGCAATGAATAGCTGATGAGATAACATTTTAAACTTGAGCAATTACAAACTTTCCACTTGTGTGTGTGTGTGTGCTTCTTCAGGAGAAAGGCTTCAGTGGATGAGAATTATGAGTGGGATTCAGTTGATGTGTCCATTCAGCCAGGAGAAAACCTTGAAGGCAGAGGTATGAGAGCTATATTGTTCTTTTAAGACTGGCATGCCTCTGTCTGTGAGTGAAAGATGTTCAGAACAGATTTTAATAACACTAGCTCCGTTGCTTAAGAACAGGCATGTCAAACTCATTTTTCCCTCAGGGCCACATTCTGTCTTCACCAAGGCTGCATGGCAAATTGGGTATATTGCCTTGCTGTCAAGATCCGCAAAAAAATATAATTTCTATCCAATATTTTGGGACTTTTTGATTGTTCCGGACTGTCTACACTCTTAAAAAAAAAGGTGCTATCTAGAACCTAAAAGGGTTCTTCGGCTGTCCCCATAGTAGATCCCTTTGAATAAGCTTTTTTGGTTCCAGGTAGAACCCTTTCGGTTCCAGGTAGACCCCTTTTGGGTTCCATGTACAACCCTTTCCACAGAGGGTTCTACATGGAACCCAAAACAGTTCTACCTGGAACCAAAAAGGGTTATCCTATGGGGACAGCTGAAGAACCCCTTTGGAACCCTTTTTTCTAAGAGTGTAGCTTTCGTTTTGGTGATTGTTAGCGGGCTGAACAAGGTGAAGACACTTAGATATTTTTTAAAACATAAAGTTCTTCAGAAATTCTTCAGTTTGATTGATTGACACCCCTGCTTTAGATTATGTAAAGATCTTTCTAATCCCTATCCAATCTTCTCCTGCTTTAGGCCTGTTCTCCTCAGTTAGTCTACTGAAGTCTACTCCCAGCATGCACCATTCCAGGGAGGGCCTCAAAGAGTCGGTCCACTTCCAGGGTCATCACCATGTTACCAGCCGCTACTCAGAACCCGAACCAGAGACTGTGATGTTCTGACAGCCCCATCCATCCCTAAGGTCAGCTCAGAGCTCTCATCTCTGTTATTGTGTGTCTGAACAGGAGCATTGATCTGTGTGATTGGCTGTGTTTACCCATGTCTCTCCCACCTTATGAATTTTGCTTTACTCTGTGGCTCTTATTGTGTTTATCTGTTTATGTGCATCTGTCAGTCTTCTTCTCCTGTTGCTTTCTACTAATATCTCAGGGTTTGTTTTATTTATACAGACTTCAAACAAGGAGGTGAAAATAGTGTGCCTTCATCAGCAATTCAGCATGGATTTACAGTTGTCAAAACTCTCAACCATGGGATAACACTGACTGGTGGACGCTCAGGGCGGAGTAAAGTATTGGCTGTTGTTGTTCAGAGCTGTACCCACCAAAGAGGACTCTCACCACTGATTCACACGACTTAGTGGTTACATTGATTGCTCTCTGCTACTTCTATGGGATGCTTATACTATGGAACTTGTTACCAAGTCAGTGAAAAGGCAGGTACAATCTTTGGTCTTCCTTGCCCGTCATCATGGCACTGTGTACGAAAATACATAATTCATACTCTTGGACTCACGGAGGATCAGTTGGAGGCTCTTTTTATTGCTTTGAGAAAAGGCAAACCAACACTGGGCTGACACTTTGTTCCACTGCTACAACACTTTCAACTTATGACAGAACTATGACGCATTATCCATTTTTCTGTGTGATGAAGAGAGAGCATTTGAGAGGGCAGGATGACAGGTCCTTAAAAATGAAGGAGGACTGACGGAGAATGTTCAGAACAAGTAGGCTGCATCATGCATTTTTTCACGTTGTTTTGTTCCTGGCCTAGTGTGAACGCTTCTGCAGTACAACTATGAGCTCTGAGTAGACGATCAATAATATTACCCCAGGAGGTTAACTCACAAGGGTTCATCAGATGTAGCTCTATAAAGAAGACCTGCTTTCTTTTCTACCCATATTCTCAACATGTAGCTAATCGAATCTCTCATTCCTCTCTATTTTTAACCTCATTGATGTTGTGCAACGTTTGTTCTGTCTATTGATTTTTTTGTACCCGGAGTGCAGTAGTTTTTGGCTGGTAATGATCACCTGTTGCTGGGATAAGTGAAGGCCGTTTTTTCACCAACCATGTATAAAATGAGTGTTATTATCAGTGAGCATTACCGGTGAGATATTTTTTGCCGTGTCTAATTTGGAGATGGAAACCTAAATGGGATTTTTTCAATCAGTCGATCTCTGAGTCATCCTAGTCAGGGAGGGAGATGGGAATTTATAGCATGTCAGAAGAGTTGATTATGCCCTAGAATGCCTTCCAGCACAACGTCTGGTGATAGAGAGAGAGAAGGGGCGCCGCGGGTGTGAATGCCTTTTGAGCTGTACTCACTCTGTTATCAGCTTACAACACCAGACCCCACTTACCCTTCCATTTTAATTCCATCAAACATTTGTACACAGAACTGACTCCCAGAAAATGTCAGTTTGTCCACTTTGGGTTTTATACAGTATCAGTCAAAAGTTTGGACACACCTACTCATTCCTGGGTTTTTCTTGATTTTTACTATTTTCTACATTGTAGAATAATAGTGAAGACATCAAAACTATGAAATAACACACATGGAATCATGTAGTAACCAAAAAAGTGTTAAACAAATCAAAATATATTTTAGATTTTAGATTCTTCAAAGTAGCCACTATTTGCCTTGATGACAGCTTTGCACACTCTTGGCATTCTCTCAACCAGCTTCATGAGGAATGCTTTTCCAACATTCTTCCAACATATGCTGAGCACTTGTTGGCTGCTTTTCCTTTACTCTGCGGTCCAACTCATCCCAAACCATCTCAATTGGGTTGAGGTCGGGTGATTGTGGAGGCCAGGTCATCTGATGCAGCACTCCATCACTCTCCTTCTTGGTCAAATAGCCCTTACACAGCCTGGAGGTGTGTTTTAGGTCATTGTTCTGTTGAAGAAATATGATAGTCCTGCTAAGTGCAAACCAGATGGGATGGCAGGTAGCTTAGTGGTTAAGAGCGTTGTGCCAATTACCGAAAGGTCGCTGGTTCTAATCCCTGAGCCCACTAGGTGAAAAATCTGTCTGTGCCCTTGAGCAAGGCACTTAACCCTAATTGCTCCTGTAAGGCGCTCTGGATAAGAGCGTCTGCTAAATGACTAAAATGTCAAATGTAAATGGCATATCGCTGCAGAATGCTGTGGTAGCCATGCTGGTTAAGTGTGCCTTGAATTCTAAATAAATCCCTGACAGTGTCACCAGCAAAGCACCCCCACACCATCACACCTCCTCCTCCATGCTTCACGGTGGGAACCAAACATGTGGAGATCATCCATTCACCTACTCTGCGTCTCACAAAGACACGGCAGTTGGAACCAAAAATCTAAAATTTGGGCTCATCAGACCAAAGAACAGATTTCCACCAGTCTAATGTCCATTGCTCGTGTTTCTTGGCCCAAGCAAGTCTCTTCTTATTATTGGTGTCCTTTAGTAGTGGTTTCTTTGCAGCAAAATCGACCATGAAGTCCTGATTCACGCAGTCTCCTCTGAACAGTTGATGTTGAGATGTGTCTGTTACTTGAACTCTGTGAAGCATTTATTTGGGCTGCAATCTGAGGTGCAGTTAACTCTAATGAACTTGTCCTCTGCAGCAGAGGTAACTCTGGGTCTTCCTTTCCTGTGGCGGTCCTCATGAGAGCCAGTTTCATCATAGCGCTTGATAGTTTTTGCGACTGCACTTGAAGAAACATTCAAAGTTCTTGAAATGTTCTGTATTGACTGACCTTCATGTCTTTAACTAATGATGGACTGTCGTTTCTCTTTGCTTATTTGAGTTGTTCTTGCCATAATATGGACTTGGTCTTTTACCAAATAGGGCTATCTTCTGTATACCACCCCTACCTTGTCACAACACAACTGATTGGCTCAAATGCATTAAGACGGAAATAAATTCCACAAATTAACTTTTAACAAGGCACAACTATTAATTGAAATGCATTCCAGGTGACTACCTCATGAAGCTGGTTGAGAGAATGCCAAGAGTGTGCAAAGCTGTCATCAAGGCAAAGAGTGGCTACTTTGAAGAATCTCAAATATAAAATATGTTTTGATTTGTTTAACACTTTTTTGGTTACTATATGATTCCATATGTGTTATTTCATAGTTTGGATGTCTTCACTATTATTCTACAATGTAGAAAATAGTTAAAATAAAGAAAAACCCTGGAATAAGTAGGTGTGTCCAAACTTTTGACTGGTACTGTATATGTGCTATGGCTCTCAATAGCAATACACTGCCAATATACATTAAATATTTTCTCAACAGTTTGTTCCGAACCCTTAGACTGAATGCAAATGCAGTTAGAAGAATGACTAGCCTAATCATTTACTGCTACTGTGCTTTTGTAAAGGAACATGCATTGTGATTGTATAAGGATAAAGGTTATCTATTTTCAAGGTTTTTGTTTGTTGTTGTACTTAAATATATCATTTTGTATAGTAAGTCTAGTGTATTTCTTTGTATGTTCTGTGCTTTGTTTGCTGATGATGCACCGTACAAGGTATCCCTATATAAACATATTTTCCATAGAACTGAAAAATAAATATTTGTTCTATGCATGTTTTATTCAATAAGTCAAAGCCATTAGCTGGCTCTTTTATAATCCAAATGAGCATTTACTACTTGAACTCATCGGCATGAACAATGAACCTGAAGTTGGATATGTTTACATTCAATAATTAATTAGTAGCAACATCTTCCACCCCATCTATCCCTATTCTATTTCCTTGATATCACTTCTCACTTTTTCGTGCAGTTGTGTTTTTTCTCCATCAGAAGCATTCCCTTGGTCTCATTAACAGTCAGGAAGAGGACATCATTATGAAGCCATTAACAGTGGCATGATGCAGCAGATAACACTTCAATAGGAGAGTCTCAATTGCATACTCGTCGCGTCCTCTCCTCGTCTCCTTCTCAAAACTGGAGGAGAAGGTCAGAGGGGAGGGATTTTGAGAATGGGTTTCGAGAAGGAGGCAAGGAGAGAGGAAGCGAGGAGTATGCAATTGAGATTCTTCCCATATGTTAGGCCCATTTGTCTGAAGAACCTACGGTACCTTTTTCACTACGGTGTGTTGTTACTCAGCAATTTGAACTCCTTGTTTATGCACCGACTCATAGACCAATAATGAACAAACAAAGGTATCAAAGTTTGAAGTTTATCAGTAGGTGTGACATTTGAATGGGATGTTTAATTAAACAATTTTAAGAGCCTCACAGGTCCTCAACTGGCAGCTTCATTAAATAGTACCCGCAAAACACCAGTCTCAACATCAACAGTGGCAGAGTTGCAAAGAAAAAGCCATATTTCAGACTGCCCATCTTAATCATTTATTTTTATTGGCCAGTCTGAGATATGGCTTTTTCTTTGCATCTCTGCCTAGAAGGTCAGCATCCTGGAGTCACCTCTTCACTGTTGACGTTGAGACTGGTGTTTGCGGGTATTATTTAATGAAGCTGCCAGTTGTGGACCTGTGAGGCGTATGTTTCTCAAACTAGACACTCTAATGTATTTGTCCACTTGCTCAGTTGTGCACCGGGGCCTCCCACTCCTCTTTCTATTCTGGTTAGAGCCAGTTTGCGCTGTTCTGTGAAGGGAGTAGTCCATAGCGTTGTATGAGATCTTCAGTTTATTGGCAATTTCTCGCATGGAATAGCCTTCATTTCTCAGAACAAGAATAGACTGACGAGTTTCTGGCCATTTTGAGCCTGTAATCGAACCCACAATTGCTGATGCTCCAGCTACAATAGCCATTTACAACATTAACAATGTCTACACTGTATTTCTGATCAATTTGATGTTATTTTAATGGACAAAAAAATTGAATTTCTTTCGAAAACAAGGACATTTCTAAGTGACCCCAAACTTTTGAACGGTAGTGTAAATGATAAAGCAAACAGAGTATTCTTTTAAAAACAAACTTCAGAGAATGTTAT